TAAGAATATTAGCATCGTCATTTCCTCCTACTTCGTGTTCAATCTCTGCAAGAATGTTGTTAAAATTTTTTGCAAAATTCATATTTATATTATAACTTTCAATATCATCACAAATTGAAGGCCAATTTTCAGATTTAAATAAATTGTTTGATTCTTGTGGGAATGCCTTTATTGGAAACTTAAAAGTATACATTGTTGCTGTTTTTGTTTCTATTGCTGCTGATGATGATGATGTTGTTGTTGTTGTTGATGTTGTTGATGTTGATGTTGATGTTGATGTTGATGTTGATGTTGATGTTGATGCTGTTGCTGTAGCTGCTGATGATGATGATGATAATGAAATATTTGACCAAAAACTATTTTCTGATATTAATTCATTTGCAAGTTTAGAATTCAAAAATGAATCAATTATCAAAGGATTTGATGATGAATAAGAAGGATTAAAAGATGTTCCAACAAAATCAAAACATGCATATAACAGCTCTAAACGTGATTCATTTGAAGTCAAATCAAATAAAAAACTACAAATATCATCAAAAATCACAATTCTATATGGATCATCTAGATCTGATTCGTCAATGATTTCTGTATAAAAAATATAATGAATAAATTATATTTATTATTATTATTATATTATTAATATAAATGTGTAACAAACTTGATCTTATTGGAAGTAATTCATTTTCATAAAAATTTTCTGCCTTTATCCATTTTTCAAATGTATCCCCTATTAATGGAAGTATTTAGTTTGCAAAAATACATGTAATGATGCTAGGAAATATTCATAGATATAAGCCATTAGATTCAATTACCTTCAATATTTTGAAGATTAAGAGAAGTTGGTAAAGTATTAAAATTTTGCAAGATCTACTAATTAGGGCTTTGGATGCTTTTCCCAATAATACGATTTTTTTGTCTTTGTTTTTGCATGAAGAAACTAATGGAAATATTCCTACAAGTTTAAATCAAATGTTAGAAAATATGTTAAAAAAGTAAGTCAAATAATTGACAATTTGTTTTTTTTTCAATTACTTTTGATATTAATTCACTATTATTAATATTTGTTAATAATAATAATGATATTCAAGAAATCCAAACCATATTCTTTGGACTTTTGCCATTTTTTCCGAATTACATAGTCAACATCCCTATGATGTTCACCGAGTTCGAAATCTATTTGATAAAGCACTTGAATGTCCAAAGTAAATTATATATACATATATATATATGTGTGTGTGTGCACATACATATTAATAAAAAAATATTAATCATTATTTTTATGTAAATACATAGAACAAAAAATTCAATATCGTTATGGGCTTTGTATATTAATTATGAAATTAAACATGAACAATATAGTAAAGCCAAGATTCTGTATTACAATGCAATAAGAGAATGTCCATGGTCAAAAGGTATGAAAAATTTTATCTAAAACATTAATTAATGATAGTATTGAAATAATTATTATAAAAAATTAATAAAAATTAATAAAATTGTTAGATTTGTATATGATAGCATTTCGAAAACTACGTTCTCAATTTTCAACTGAAGAATTAGATGAGGTGATGAATGTAATGTTAGAAAAAGAGATCCGTTTAAGAGTTTCAATGGAAAAATTTACCGAAGAAAAGGAACAAGAAGAAACAATGACCAATATAGTCCAATGATGGCAATGATGACAGTAATGAAATGCATCTCATTTATTTAAAAAATAAAAAAATCTAATAAATGAATAATTTAAATTATTTAGAAATTATACAAATAAATAGACACATATATATTCAATATTAATAACAATAATTTACCACATACAGTATATTTCTTTACTATTTTATACACTTCGTCTTTAAAACAATAACAATAAGGTTCATGATTAACCAGTAAGCTTCATAAATTTAAATATCTTAAATCCATAAAGGACTAATTAATATATATAAGGATTAGTTTCTATTGTAGAGGTGGACAATTATCTAATTAGTCGTTCCGATTGGAAATCATTTTTTAGTCTTGGAATTTTTTGAGGTAATTAGATTGCTATTCATTAGTTGCTAAAAATCAGGGAGTCGGATTAATGGAATAGAATAAAAAATAGTCTTAACTCGATGAAATAATCATTATTGTCCATACTAAAATATATTTTCCCTCTATTCAAGTTGTCCCACTCCCCAATTGAATCCTACACATTAATTTCTTTCAGTAGCATAGGTTTTTCAATAAATTTGAAATCATCAATTTAAAAAAAAAATTCTGGTTTATTTGTGTCAATTAATCAATTTCTTGGTCTTTTATATTTGGATTTTATTATTTTTAGAATCTTTGACTTTCTAACAATCATTTTGAACCGTTTCATCTTCAAATGTTCCTTTTCTGGTTTTCATCCATACAACAATTATCGAGTAAAACTGACTGATGATGATTGATATCTGGGTGAAAAACATTCTGATAAAGAAATTTTATTCCTTCTTTAATTATATAATTTTGTGTAAACCATCAATTTAATTCACATCTGGATCCAGTTTGTTAAATCCATTATAAATACCTAACAATTAACAGCAAATTGTTAACGTTACAAAAATTACTAATAAAAATCGCTCCTTTACACAATAAGTATAATTCCCTTGTGCCATGCATAATATGACTTTTATATACGAATAAAGTTAATCTCAGAAAATAACTATACAAAAAAATTAAAGCGTTGCATGTGATATTTGAGACTTTACTACATATAGAGGAAACGTATTAAGGAAAGTTGTATTATACCTTTTGTATATTTAAGGCTTCGCTCATGATCAACGGTTAATCCAATTATTTGGTAAGGCTTGCTTTGAAATATGAGAGAAGATCTTGCTTTTAAAAGGTTGGAACGTTTGATATCTTGTTCATGTCGATTTTAATTGCATCGTATATACTAAATTCAATTAATTTTTTAATATTATATATATATATAAAATGATTTTTGTTTTATTATTTTATTATTAATAAATGCTACAAAACTGAAAGAATTTTTATTTCTTTTTTTTTTTTTTTTTTTTTTAAAAAAAGTATATATATATAAAAATTTTCAAAATAATATAAAAAGATAAATAAATAAAATAAATACAAAATAAAAAAATTTGATTTTTCAAAAACCTAAAAAAAACAACTAAAAGATGATTTTCAAAAATAAAATAAAAAAATATATCAATACCAAAAAAATTTGATTTTTGATTTTGCCAATAAAAATATCTCGATATATATAAAAATATATATATATATTTATAACGAAATAATAAATATATAATTGTATGTGTGTGTGATATTTTTATAAATGATTAAAAAAAATTAAACCCCGATTGGATATGTAGAGATTAAAAATATCGATGAAATGTGTATATATATATAATATATATATATAAACTAATATATATATATATATATATATATTGTATATGATATATATGATATGTATATGTGTGTGAATATATATATATAAGAAATAAAAAAGAAAAAAAGAAAAAATTCGGGTTAGCAGAATTGTAGTAGTAGCAGTAGCAGTAGTAATATGTATAGATATTAATAATATATAAGATAAAAATAATAAGATTTTAAAGGTGGACTTTTTTGTTTTCCTAAATAAAAATATATATATATATAAAAAGAAAAAAAAAATAAAATGGAAAAAATAGATACAAGAAAATAGAAAAAAATAAAAAAGAAAATTGTCCATTCCATATACTTGGAATTTTTTTTAATACCCTCCTGCGGCAACAAATTTGTTAGAACCGCCATCCTTGTAATGTTCTTTTAGATATTAGAAAAAAGAAAATGAAGAAAAATAAAAAGTGTATGTATTTTGAAAGTAAATTATTCTCTATTAATTAATATTTTTTTGATATTGTTTTTATTATTATTATTATATTTATTATATACTATTACGTCTAACCCATATCCTTTCTGGCAGTGAAGTAGATTTTGTTGTTCCTTTATTTTTAGAAATAGAGCTAGATTTAGAATTGTTCCTTTTGAGTATTTTGTTATTATTATTATTATTATGCCGTGTTCTAACTTTACGAGTTCTAATCACCCAATGACCTCCACCGCTAAATGATCCATTACGTTTTGGTCGACGTAATACTACACTTTTTACTCTTCTAACATTGTCTTTTTTATTATTATTTAAATGGGATGAGTGTGGTGTCCATTTGAATGCCGAAGGAAAAGATCCGGGTATATTTAAATCTCGATCTTCTTCCTCGTGTTCCTCCATTTCATGATCATATATATCATTATTATCTTGTTGATCTATAATATTATCACTATAATTAATATTGCTACTAATACTACTACGCTTATTGTTATTGTTGTTGTTTATGTTATTGTTGTTATTGTTATTATCAATATAATAATTAGAATCGTTTATTGCTATAGGTGATTGTAAAAAAATATCTTGTTTTTCGTTATTAACATTAGTATTATTATTATTAGTATAAAAATTATTGTTATTATTAATAAGATACGTGACGGCCTTCATTTCAAGGCAGGTACAAATTTTGACGTTTTTTTTTTTACTGTCTTCCACCATCTTCGCCTCACCATCTTGATGATCTAACTCGATAGCATTATGATGATGATGTTCAATATTGTTGTTTTTATCAATGTTGTGAAATACTTGTCCTGGCTTTAGCATGCCAACCATTCTGATTACTTGTTGTCCTGCTACTTCACACAACCATGCATCTAGCACCAATGTTCCAAGCGTAAACAAAAATGTCCAATACATAAGATTCATAAAACTTCGTGTAGTGCTTGTCACCGACCTAGGTGTATGTGATGTATCGGTGGTTTGGAGTGACTCGGACATAAATGAGTGCGTTGCATGTAAAAATGGAAGTATAAGTGCTCGAGTGAGTAGACGACATTGTTGTGCAAAATCATCCAAGTCTGCCAGATCTTCACTTGGATGATTTATTGGATCAATATATTGTGATGACAACATATTTGGAGGCATGATCTCGCCGTTAAGAATATTAGCATCGTCATTTCCTCCTACTTCGTGTTCAATCTCTGCAAGAATGTTGTTAAAATTTTTTGCAAAAACATCTAAACTTTGTTGAAATTCCTCCTCTTGCCTGCTTTTTTGTTTACTGTGACCTACTCTCTTTTCTTTCTTGCGGTCTTGTATTAAATCAGTGTTTTCCTTTGATGATGGTTTTATTAAGCCTTCCCCAGCAACTTCTTCGCCATCCTCCTCTAAATAGGTGTCAAGATCATTTAAAAAATTATCGAAATCAAGTTGTGATGTTTCGCTAGCATTAGAAGGTTGTCTTGGCTTTGTTTCACGACCTCTTACGGGTACCTCAACAGCTTCTTCTGCTTGTTTAATCATTGCAACTAATTGGCTAGCTAAACGTGCAAATGACGTATCGCCAGTTTTAGTTATGTCTTCTTCGTCGTCGTCGTCGTCTCCATCATCGTCTTCATAGTCGTCACCTTCATCATTATCATCAACACCATCACCGTTATTCTTTTTAATTACTTTTTTATCGTCATGTTCATCACCAACACCATCATCAACATCTTTTTCATTCTTTTTTTCATCAATAATAGGAATAGCTTCTTTGTTGATGATATATGGGTTTATACCAGGTGACTCTGGTGTAGATGGAAGATCAGACTTCATTCTACTAGAAGAGTTAGTACGTGATAATGGAACTGGTGTATTAGATGGTGAAACTGCACGTGATCCAGCTCTTGATGATGAGCGTGACGGAGCTCTTGAGGCAGCACGAGAACCTTGACGCGAGTTTTGACCTGACATCGACGAGTCGATGGATTGTGATTGTGTAAGTGTTTCTTGCTTATCTTGCACTCCTTGTTCATCTTGAATTTCTTTTTTATCGTGCATTTCTTTCAAGACAGTTTGAATGCTAAAAAGTAACAATTAATTAATTAATTAATTATTCAATAAATAATACTTTTTATCCATATATATACACATTTACGTATAAAATAAATCATTACTAACTCTGAGAATTGAGTTAAACCGTGCATTGCAAAAGCTTGATCACTGAGAGCTGTTTGTAGTGAAGTTACAACAAGAGGTTCTTCTACTTGCGTCATCTACAAATGTTAATATGATAAAATAATGATTGGTAAATAATTTTGTAATTTATATTAGAGTTTTTAAGTAAGAAAATAGCCATTTTTTTGTTTAGATAATTATTGCACAATTATTTATTATATACGAATATAAATTTTCTCTCTTTTTTTTTTTAAACTTTTTCAATTTTTTCAATTTATAAAGAAAAAAAAGATATTTTTTTCTTCATAAAAATAAATAAATTCAAATAAAGATAAAAAATAGAATGTAGCAATAGTATTTTTATTTTAATAAAATTGGTACATACACAAGAATGGACACTAGGATGGTGATTGGCTTACCTTTTCAACAATATTAAAGCAAATAAATTTTAATTATAAAGAAAATATCTATTAAAAAAAATCTATTTTTTTAAAAAATTTTTTCTATTAAATGTATTTAAGTTGGAAGGTTGTTAGAGAACCTATCCTTTTGATATCAATATTAGAAAAGAAGGAAGAAATAACAGAAATAACAAACAGGTGGTTGAAGAAAGGGTTAAAAAAGAAAAAAAAATTTTTTTTATTGGCACCCAAAAGATATATATCAAAAAAAAAATACCTGATTCTGGTATATAATCAATATATATGGAAATTCGTGGTCAGGGAGATCTCGTTTTGGTCGAAAAGGCGTGATTCATATCACTAATGTAGTAATTTTAACTACCATCGTGTTCTTTTCCAGCATGATCTCACGGCATTTTTTTTTATATTCTATTCTATTCTATTCTTATTCTATTATTATTTTTGAAGAAAAAAATTTTTTATTTAATAATTACTTTTAGGGTTGATTTGGATTAATTACTATGAAAATCGATTATTAATATATATATATATCTATTTTATTATTTGTTAAATTAACTATTTATATTAAACACACATTCTTCTACTATTGTCCTATTATCCATTAGACAATAACATAAGTCCGCGTTACCAAACATTATTCAAAAAAGTAAGACTTTGTAAAAAAAAACAATAAAAATCATTGATAATATTTCTGATGGAGAAGTGATATTAATTAGTAACTAATGTTTAATTTTTTTATTTTACTAGTAACTAATATATATTTATTACTAGATGGTTTGAAACAAATAACACGCATAACACAACGTAATGTTTGGGCGTTTCTAATTCTTGCTATATTTTACTACACCACAATAAGATTAATAATAATTAGACCATACAAACAAGCAGCCACATATATAATAGATAAAGAAGATTACGTACCTTATTCACCTGATCGCCACGGTATTACTGCATGGGTAATTTTCTTAACTAGTGCTTTTTAAGGCTTTGATTTTCAACTTTTAACATTTGATTTCACACTATAATGTTTTCATTTCATGCTTTTTTTGAATTCTTTTTTAAAAAAATTTATTAATTTTAATTTTTCTAATATATATAGATTATATAAGAATATATATGAAAAAGAAATTACCACATTTTTCCCCCAAGATGATTGACCAAACTTCTTAATTATCATAATCGTCAGTTATATTTGTTAAAATTTTCAATTTATTATCATCAACATTCGACTTTCTGAAACCAATCCATTAATTATAATAATAACAATAAAGGTGATTATATGTTAAACAATCACACAACTACCATTACCATGTGATAAATCAAAAAATACCAAAAGATATTACATTGAATAATGGAATGTTTGTTTGGATGGATGAACGGATGTATGTATTTATGTATGCAAAACATATAATGTGATGAATTGATTGGGTTAGATTGTGATAATAAAATGATTGGGATTGGATTGGATTGGATTGGATGACTGGTTGATGGGGGAAAGGAGAAGGAGATGAAGAGGAGAAATGGAGGGAAAAGAAAAAATAACCTTTTCTTTTTTTGTAATACTAAATTTTTCAAGATGTTATAAAGAAAGAAAATTTTACCTAATTAGAGGAATTAATATTATTGATTTGATTTGATCTGATCTTTTCGTTCCTCGTCTATATTTAGGGATGATGGTGTTGATGATAATCATAATTACATATATACTATACTATATACTGTACAAACATTACACATTATATATATACTTGAGAAGCGCATTTAATTCTTTGTGCTGTCATACAATCTTCTATCCCTTCAATATTGTTTTTTTTTAGAAAAAAAGGAATTAGAGAGGAAAAGAAAATAACCATTATTTATTATATTTTATTAATAAAGAATGTCCATTATCATTAATTTTTTATTATCATACACTTTTAAAAAGATAACTCTTATTATCTATCAACAATGAAACGCAATTTTTGTTAACAAAAGAAAAACAAATATGCAGAGGATAAATAAACAGCTGAAAAACAATCATCAAACAGTTTAATGTAGTTATTGATGTTAATTTTGTTGTTAAATTTGTTAATGTTGATTTATAAATATTTATTTATTTATTATTTATTTATTTACACACATACTAAAAAGAATTAGTGATATTAAAGGAAAGCTGAATAAATAATTTCAGGTCTCTAGATTTTACGATTCCCAGCATTCATTTGATTTTATTATTTTATCCATCAAAATTATATATTTATAATGAATGTATGTGTGGTGTATACATATTCATATATACTTTTATGTATAAAATATGACACGTTTTAGTTAATAACATTACACAATAAATATGAAAATAATGAATATGGAAAAAACCCGTTAAAAATCCATAGATTGTGTGTGTCAAAATTTTACGGCGGATCTACAGCAGGAGATGATTTTTACCGAGTATTGTGAATTTATACGGTGGATCTATAGTGAAATTTAGATATCCAGACCAATTTTCCTACCCTAAAACGCTTGTATGGTCGATCCTGTATACGAAACAATTTTCGTACGAATGATATATATGTCATTTTGCTTATAACAATATTAGCCGATTGTCGCCGATTTAACAGACCTTCGGGTCGATTTTGCCGTCTTTGATGGTGTTAATCATTAGTCGAACGATTTGTGTTATGGATGATATGTCATTTATTCACCGCAATCAAAAATCCTGAATTATAACAGGTAACTGCAAGTTGGAAATGAACTTTGACTTTCTTCATTGTGAAGTAATGGAGCGTAAATTTTGAACTTTGAATCCATGACTTTTAAAGATTTATGAGTTAAAAAGATAATTTATGAGCCATTTAAAAGTTTTAAATAGTTTTACAACTTTGCATTATATCACAAGTGTCAGTAGCTTGTCGGTTTTGGACTTTTATATTGCTAGGGTTTTTTATACACTTATTGATATTATTTATTACGTTTTATTTTTCATTTTATCTTATTTGTAAAGATGTTAGTTAATTGGGGAAATTAATAATAAAATTACATCAAAGTATTGGTCAAAGGTTGATCATCATGTAAACTGTTAAGAATTCTATGTGTAAATTCTATAAATTAAATAAATTTGCCAAAATTTTGAAAAAAAACAATTATTTCAAATTATAACTTTTTATTAGATTAGATGATTAAAATCTCATGATAACTAACATTAATAATAATGACTATAAATCAAGATAAAATCAAAGATAAAATGAGCATTTGTTATGTGTGTATCTTTCTTTCTTTTAATGTTAAAGTGAGGGCTTGTGACCACATTTATCTATTAAATTACCTTAATTTAAATCTAACCTGCCATTCTTAAAAAAGATAGCTAAAGGTAAAAATTTCCTTGCTTAGCACCAAACTACAAATCTCAACATTAGTTCTATCCATCAAGATGGGTAATAAGCATCATGGGAAGCAGATGAAATAGAACTTTTTTTTTGATGTACAAGTTCTTCTGTTTTGGTTTAATATCCCAATTGAATGGAAACATTCAATAAATTCCTCATGCCTAGGGTTTGTGTACTATGTTTATGATTCTTGGGATGAAAATTCTTGTAAGGTTAATTCATTGTGTGCATTCCTTTCTTGGTTATTGCCAATCCTATTATTTTAAAGTAAAGTAATCTATAAAATAACAAATTAAAATTTATCTATGTATTAATCTACAATTTGTTACATAAATGCATCATTAATTCTATTATTAAAAATGAGTAAATATAATAAAGAAAAATCAACAACCTTTAAAAGAATTTGTGAATCTCAAAATATTACAATAGAACTTTTAGTACATTGCACCAATTTGGTTCATTAGTAAAAACAATAACAACCTTTTCTATCTTGTTAAAAATTTTACAAAGACATAGACCATTAAAATTTTTTTAAAAAAATTGTATCTTTAATATTAACCGATACTTATTAAACTTGTAAATACCTCTTCGATCTTGCTATAATTTTATAGCTCTTTATTGAATTAATCTGCTTGATATGATAATCTGCTGAAAACATTGATTAATTGTTAATTATATATCGAGTAAATAAAATACAATATTTATTTCTAATAAAAATAATTATCTATATATACTAAAGTTAATAAACATACTTGTCGTTTTAAAATTTTGAATTCATTAAATATATACAACACCTTAAGGTATATAAAATTCATTTAGCTCCAAGTTTACTTTCATTCATGAAAATTTTCTGGTCGAGGTAGATCAGTGTTGATCGTCCAAATTTTCGGATTTTGCGTGTCAAAGTTGACATCAACATTAATGTATTTTCGGGTTTGTGAAATACGCGTGCGTAAACGTGAAAATAATAGTAATAGGGAGGTTTCTATATCATTAATATGTTGATAGATCAAGCAGAAAAATCAAGTCATCAAAAGAGTACTCGTACTCCTTTGCTATTTAAACGTAATTATCTTTGAACACACGTATTCATCTGCTACACTTTCTATACGCGCCATACAATATTTATTCTTATCGTCTGCATAATTGCTGGCCTGGTTACTGTGCCAATCCTCCTTGGCTGATTTTCCTGCGGTTTTATTATTACCAAGTCGCTCCCGTTATAATGACGCTCTCCATCCAAACAAAAATGTTAGTCCGTCCGTATAAAATAAAAGTTCATATAAGAATCATTATAATGTGATTTATTTTGAACATAAAAATCTAAACTATTTGTTCGGCCTCTAAAATTCTTTGTTTTCTGATAAAATTACTGTCAAAATCTTTAATTTATCTAAACTAGAAGTGCGCCTATTTGGTTCTTTCCGATTTTTAATAAGAACAAAAACATTTTTTAAAATTACAATTTTTACAATAGGATCGCTTCCATTCATTGTCTAATTAACTAAAATTAGCCATATTAATCAAATGTTTTTACAATTGATTGATTGTTCACATTAATTAACATTGTCAAACACTTTGTTTGACATGATCTGAATGATATTGACAACGGATAAAAACTGATATTTGACAACTATGTCGTTATTCTAGTATAACGGATAAATTAATGTCATTATTATGTAATTTATAAACAAAATTGTTATTATAACGGGACTATTAACAGTTTTTAATCAATTCATGATTTATTGTTAAAAATTTACGTCGACATTGAATTTTAAATCTATCATGAATCTATCATGAATTTAAATTTTTAAAAAAAATTTTAAATTAAAAAAAAAACCAAAAATGTGAAATTTTAAAATATTTACAAGAAAATATATAAAAAAAATATTATTAATTATTAATTATATAGAATATATTAAAAATGTTTGAAATCATAATTATATTATTGCTTATTTTGCGCATTTAATTTTTAAAGTAACTCGAAGAAATTATAAATAAATTCTTTAATAGTGCATATATTTAGGAATTAAAAATAATTGGATTTGTTTCTTTTTATAAACCAAATTGGACATGTTCCTAAAAAAAATATTAAAAAAATAATTTTAAAATGAGAGAATGATTAATTACAAATTATATTCAAAACATACACACGTTATGTACGTGTAGTAATTGTGTGCATAATATTAATAATAATTACCATGGCAACTTGAACCGATGAATCTTCACGACGATTTCCTATTTCCCAAAATCTTGGATTAGAACCAGGAGATTGAGGAACTGGAGTAGAATTATTGTGATCTTGACCAGTCGAATTACTCAGAGAGTTTATTATAGATGGTAAAGTGTATCGTCGAATTGACTGTTTCTTGAAATATTGGGCCATATTAGTATCAACAAATGATTCGGATGAACGACGTGACAATGCCGAATGTTGTGATATGCTAGGAGTTGTAGTATTATTATTATTGGTAATAGTAGGTGTGGTTGAGAATGATGATGTTAATGATGATGTTGGTGATGATGATGATGATGATAAACCAGCATCAGAATTTGAACAGTCAGGCGACGATGCATCTCGAAAATGATGATTATTGTTAATTAAATCATCATCAAAATTATTATGAACTACGGTAATACTAAGTATTGTGGAAAGTGTTGGGCCAAATGTTGGAGTCATTTTTAAATTTTTTTTTACAAGAGAAATGAATATATATATATATATATATATGTGATATGTACAGAAAAATTGTATTTATGTATAAAAATATAGAAAAATTTATAAAAAAAAAAGTTATTTATTAAAAACAAGAAAAAAAAAATGAAGAGAAGTTCAAAATTTGAAGTAAAAAAAAATAAATTTATTGTATTATATTATTAAAGAAAAAATAGTTATTATTTAGGCGTCGTCGTGGCAGTAATTTATTTAATAGCAAATCTTATATATTTATAATTAATAAAATAAAATACTTATAAATAAAGATGTAAATGATTAAAGAAAAATATGAAATTTATGAAACGTATGAAAAGAAAAATTTTGAATAAATTATTAATCCAAAGTTAAAAGGTTGGGTTTTTATATAAACAAATTTTTTATTTACTATGATATATATTGTTTTGCTTTATGACAGAATATGGTGATTTTAACAATTTTTTGTGTGTGAGAAAAGATTATTTTTATAATATTTTTAGTGAGAAAATAAAATATTATTTTTGATCATGAGATGGATGGCGAGAAGAATCCCTTGTTACAAAAATATAAACAATACAAATTTAATCAATTAATTGAAATTACTATTAAAATTATTAAATCAAAAAATCAAAATTGTAAAGTTTATTTGAAGAAAAATAAAGTTAAGGATTTTCTATTGCAATCAACCATTAATAATTGATAATGCAATCTAATTGATTAAATACTAATCGTGTGACATATTCGTGTAACAAATATCAAGACATTAACGTTATTTGCAAAGAAAGAGATAAAAAAAATTTCTAATTATGGTATCGTGAAAAAGTGGGGAAAGGATGTTTGTGTCTCTCTCTTCTTGTACACATACAAATAGAAAAAGAAAGAACGGGAAGAGAGAAGCAAATGAGAAAAAAAGGCGAAAAGAATGAAAATTCGATGATGGTGTTAGGCATAAATCATATGGATTTTGTGTAAGATGATAAAAGTTTGGTGATAAAGTGTGTGTAAAAATATAAAAGAGAATCATCAATTACCTGGTTATAGCTTTATAAAAAATGACCGTGCGAGTTAACGTGAACATTTCTTGATTTTTATTTTTATACATTCAAGAATTTCAAACCCAAAGAAAGAAATGGGGAATCTTAATTTCCCATACAATATTTTCTCGATTTTGATAATTACAATAAAAAATAATTAACAATTGTTGTATAAAATGTATAAAAAAAAAAAACAAAGCAGATCAATGTCAAGATACCTTGACCTCATGATCCATTATTTGACTTTTTAGTGTGAGAAAAAAGTTTGTTTCTTTGGATCTAATACGTACACGATAAGTTCGTTCTTTACATGACAAAGTGGATGATGAATGTATGAAATGTGATAAGGCGCGTATTTATATTAAACGTGATAACTGTATATACCACGAATAAATGTATGAAACGTGATGAACAAAAAGTATGCTGTAACTAATTAATGCTAAATATCGTGTGAGAAGTTTTTATCATTATCAAAAAAACCAGATTTAAACTTGTTTTTTAACAACAATGCTTGCTGATATCTATGATAACAACGAATGGAAAACTATAATATCAGAAATTAAAAATAATTGTTACACGAATTTGAGCCAAAATTATAATTATAAATTTTAATTGATATAAAAAAATTAATTAATATTAATACATATGGCGGATCCTTGTGCCCTATTTTTTTATTTTAAAATGGAGAGTCGATTAGTCTTTAAGTAGTAATAATTTTTAATTTTATGTTTAACAACATGAATTGCGTTTTTTAAATTGGATCGTTTTTGGGGGGTTAAAATAGGGTATATATTATATATATACACTCACCTACCATAAATATCCGACCACCCAAGTCGTGTAACGTCGAATGAAAGAGTCCTTACTAAAAAAAGTAATGTTTTCTTAAAATAAAACCTTTTTTACTTTACTAAGTAGACCTGTACTTGATATCAAAATCTCTAAATTACAAAAACTTCGAAAGATTTGGTATGGTATTAATGGAAACATTTAGCAACTAGTCCAAAAAAGCAAGTTTTCAATCGGAATCTTTACATGTAATAAAGGTCAAATTTCTTCATTGTATATTTATTATTTCATTAATAAAATATGCTCAACGTAACAGATTACATATATCTACAATATGGTGTTGACATAAATTAGTTCGTGAAAAGGGTTTAAAAAAGTATCCGACCACCCTGTAATTTTATTATATGAAATACTTGATAAAGTTGACAAAATGCAAATTTTAAGGCTTTACGTTTTGTTGTCTATACTTGATCAAAATTTTCTCAAATTTTAACCATATATAATTCAAGTTATTTTAAGCGGACTTACTTAATGACGTAATCCATGATTCAACGGAGTTTTAGAGGTTTTTACTAAGCTTAAAGTTTTCATAAAAATCACGAATTTTTTGTCTAATTTAAAATCTTCATCCTAAATTCATTATTAATATTAATGCAAAACTCAACGAGACTTTTAAGTTTATATGCAAATTAACTTTAAAAAACATGTTTATTTAATGCACCAGTCCCGGTTTGGTTAATAAAAATTTGAACTGCATAAGGCGTATATAACATTTCCGATTATTAAAATGATCATCAGGCGGTCGGATATTTATGGTAGGGGAGTGTATATTAATATATTGAAATTTTATCACAAAAGTTTGGCAAGATTATGGCTTAATTTAGGCCGGAAGATCAGCGATTTTTTAAAATTTCTGGAATTAGTCCTGTGATCAGCCAATAATTTGTGCAGAAAATTCGTTGAAAAATAAAAACTCGCAGAAGGGTGGAACAGGACTCCGGATTATCATAATTGAGGTAACATCTAGGTTATTAGTATTACAGACTTTTGGAATTGGACATTTTTTTAGGTTTTTTTGTACCCTGTGCATGCCAATTTTGGTCCCAAAAATCGATACCCTGATGATCCATGATATCATTAAAAATATATTATTGGTCAAATTTTGTTGTCAACATTTACATGTGTTGGAATATATGATAAAAATGCTAAAAAAAACTTGCACATAATAATTTGTAATGTATATTTGATGAACAGCAGACACAACCACCTACAATCTGTATGTCGATATGTATTAGCAACAACAAGCATTTGTAATGCATATATTTTAAATATTAGATATTATAATTTTTTTTTTTTTGCAAATTTATATGCTTCCGTTATTAAATTGAAATTCTAATACCTTTTATTGTAGGACATTGCACAAATGTCCTACTGAAAAAAATCTAATATCAAGGAATATGGGATCATTTATCTAGACAAATATTTATTCATCAGGAAATTTTTTCTGATGCAGATTTATGTAATTATTACACTATTTACATAAGTTTACAGCAGGTCTCATAATATTATGTGAAAATTATACAAAAATTATGCAATTATTACATTCAGTGTAAATATTACCTAATTTTTATGCAAATATTACAACATTGAATATTAATTAAAACTTACAGATGTAATATTACAGTGGAAAAAATTTCTTGGTGTTAGAAGCAACTTCTTTTGATCAAAATCATCCATCAACAACAAAGTACAATATGATGTTAAGTTTTCATTTTTATTATATTTAGATCACTCAATATGACTAAAAATTGGGATGATTGGTTATAGGAGCAACTTGCTGTGATCAAAAACATCATAGTAAAATATTTTATTTATATATTTTAATTGATTTTTTTTACATAATATTTGTGAGAAAGTAAACCCCAAGAGGTGTCTGTTCAAAAATTTGTAAATGGGGCATATTGCAACAAAACCAGACAAAGTGAACATTTGTACTATCAAAGATTTCAGGGATCAAAATTTAGTCATTGTAATGTGATCATAATTAACAGTTTTATAATACCCCTATATAAAAATAATTAACATGAAACTAATTTATATTAGATCTACTATGGAGCCCAGGGATTTATAGTATTATCAGAAGTATTTTAAAAAGGAACAAGGTGAAAAAATTGCCCCTTATATTTTCAAAATAAATGATACTCAGTCACTTGAAGCTTATCTAAAAAAAGAAAAATTAACTATGAAATTTACCAAGAAAGAAAAATCATAACCAGTAAATGAACTATCATGAAGAATTTAGAAAGAAAAGAAAATTGGAATGGAAATAATTTATTACCTAGGGGAGCATGTCTTTTTTATCTTTTAAAATTAAAAAAAGAATTAGTTGGGTTGGTTTGACTTGCTTAGGTTTCACTTCAATTATTTGTTCTTGTTTCTTTTAAGTGGATTTTCTCATCTTTTTTGTAAACTGTAATAGTTTATTCTTTTTCCTTGGTATGGCTAAATATAATTCTTGTTTTAATTGCTGAATTTCTTGGGCTTGTTGGTTGGTTTCTTGGTGAATTGCTTCAATTCATTTTCCTTCCCTTGTAAGGTCAAGAGAATAACTTGTATTTCCAGATTCTTGAATTTCTCCAACTTCTCTAAGTTTTCAGCTAATTGTCTTTTATTTCATTCTTGGGATACTTCTAAGGCTTCAAGGTGACATTCAACTTTTTCTTCTTCTTCCTCAATTCTAGTTTTCAAATAATCAACAAATAATTCCTTCTCTTCCAATTATTTTTCTAGTTCTTTAATCTTCTCCTCTGAACCTACACTCCTTTCCATAATAAAGTTATATTTTTCAATTTGCTTGTCCAACTTCTTTTTTTAATTCTCTAATTTCCTTTTGGTGAGTAAAGCAATTTCTTTACTTTCATCTTTCTCTTCTAACCCTTTATTTTTCTTTCTAATTCTTTTTGTTCTTTTAATTTCTTTTCAATGCTAAGATAGAGTACTTCTTCTGTTCTATCCAACTTTGAAATGCTTTCTTTTAACTCAGGAAATTTTCCCCACCATAATATTATGTCCATAAATTTTAATATGTAAAGTTGTAAGATTTGCATAAAAAATTATGTAATATTTACACTCAATGTAATATTGCATAATTTTTGTATGCTTATTTGCATAATATTACAGGGCCTGCCATAAACTTACATGTGATTGTTGAGTTTGTCCAATAAATCTTTCAAATTATTTAACTCTTGTTCTAATTTTATATTGTCAATTACTTTTATTTTTTACTTTTTATTATTGTATTTATTACCATAATATATTATTTTAGTACACATTTATAAAAATTTTATATTGGTTTTGGACAAGTAATATCTTTAAATTCATTCCTTACAAATGAGCAAATATTATTATAAAGGTATTCTTGTCTTTTATAATCTAAAGGAGATGGTGTTAACACTAAAATAGATAAAGTTTTATTCTTTTCAAAAAGATCTGATTTATTGGTTTTCAATAAATTGAATTTAGTAAAAGGTCCATCAGCAACCTCCTGAGCTTTGATCATACCAAGATTAGATGCTTCAAAAAGAAAATGTTGATACTTCTGTATATTTGGTAATTTCTTAATAAATTCCCAAAATTGCTTTAATATTCAAGTATTGAAAATCTTTCCATCTTCATAACATTGAGTTTTATTCAATCCTGCTGGACTAGATCTTTTCACTACATCAACCACATGGTCCAGACAATATACTCTTATATTTCTGTAAAGTTTTTTAATCAAGCCAAAACTACCATCACATTTGAATTTGGTATGTCCAGGAATCATGAAATTTAATTCAACACTTTCATAATAACTACAAATTACTATTAGCTTTTATTTTTTATATGAAAAAAAATCTTTTCCTTTCTTTATTTAAAGATAAAGATATTATCCTGTCTTAAACTTGATCAAGATTGCTGAAAAGAAATCATTTTTTAAGTTATAAAAAATTTTTGGAGAGAATCATCTACAAATTACAAAATTGAAAATGAAGGTGTGAGAAATATTTTCCTAAATATATTCAATAAAGCTAAGCAAATGCATTCTTTAGGTAACTCCTAATCCATTCATTGTTTGCTTTGTAGGAACAATAAGAGTGTTTACATAGCTAATGAAGATTTTCAGATTTGGAAATCATAATTTCTATAACCTTTTTTTTCTGAGTTTCAGCATCATCATAATTTAGTTTAAGCAAACTTCTATACATTACACTACAATTTTATGTGGTAATAAACTATCAATTATGCATACAATAAAATTATGCACAAATTATGTACCAAAAAATATCAATTATGCATATGCAGTGATATAAAAAATCTATTTAATTTATATTCAAGGATTGAAATACATCATATTTAATTTTTTTAATTGATAAATTCTGGTAATCACTATCCAAAAAAGAATTATACACAGAACTTCTCTCTACACTACAACTTGGTATAGAAAGCCAATGTAATCCAATGCAACTCTTGAAAATAGGAATTGTTGTGACATACTTAACCAATACTGATTTAAATTAAGATCACCTGAAAATGGATTGTACTCATGACTACCAATTCTATAATCTATACAATCTATCAATGTTGTAATTCTGTTATTGCACTATAATGTCAATCTCTTTTCTTAACATATTTGTTGTAAGAAGGAAAGAAGTATTAAATTACTACTATGCAATTACTATTATTGTCATTAATTATTAATTAAAGATTATAAAGTTTTTATTTTTGGTCAATAATTATGCAGTGATTTTTTTTGATTATGCATTATTCAATAATTTTACCTGATTATGCAATATTATACAGAATGCATTGTTTTTAAAGGTGATTTTTAATAACGTTGGTTTTTTGGTACCAAAGTGAAGAGAAGACCTTGAAATATATATTATAAAACATAAAACATCAATAATCATCACGATGTTTTCGATCACTCTTCTTTGTAGATCTTTGTTGTTTATCTAATTTTCTTTTATTATTTTCTATTTTCTTTCTATCATCAAAAAATTTAAAAAATTAATGAAAAATAATAATATTATTAATATCACATTATATACAATACAAACAATTGTTCAATTCTTTTTAGTTTTTCTTCATCTGGTCCTTTCGGTATTTCAGCAGCTCTTGTTATAAGATCATACAACTTATCAATACAATCTTCTATATTTCTAGATTGTGTACGTGTTAATTGAGACACTAATACAAGTTCTCCTTTCTTATTGATATGATTTGATTCCTATAAAATAAAATAAATAACTAATCAAAATTGCGCATGTGATGCACAAAACGAAATGGAAAAAGAATGAATTGTTTATTGGACCTGGATTTTTATTTTATTTCTTGCATATTCTGGTATCCAATAAGCTTTATCCAGATTAATTCTAATGTCCACCTTGGTATTAACTAAGCTTGTTCGTGTGGAAAGGTAAAATTAGAGAGAAAATAATAAATTATCAAATAAAAATAAGAATATTATCAGCATTGTTAATTTACGTTTGTTAACATTTTGTCCACCAGGTCCACTACTTCTTGCAAAACTAATTTCCAACATTTCTAATTATTATAATTGTATTAATTATTAAATGTTAACATTTAATCTGGAATCCACACCACACTAAAGAAACATGAACAAACCTCTTGGTATTTTTTCTCTTGTAAAGTTCTTTATCCATCTTTCAGCTTTTTCTATATCTTGAGGTGTATCTAAACTTGATATAAATCTTTTTTTAACTAATGATAACAGTGATGTTGATGTTGATGTTGATGGTATGTTGATAATACTAGTAGTAGTCAAATGGTTATTATAACAATTGTAATAGTTTGAAGAAGATCGAGATATTGATTTGAATGGATTTTTTAATAATAATAACAACATTTTGTATTTTTTATATTTAGATTTAAAAAAATCTATTTGAAGATCATTGCGTAATTTGAAATTTCTCCCAAAAATTTATTTCGACACATGATCCGCGGAACTTTTGTTCTTGAGTTCTTAACTGCTACTTTGCTTTCAACTACCATACATCGTGTATGGTGCGGCATGATAGGCCAAAGTGGACAAAGTCGGAAGCGCATCAGATACACATCAAATTCTGATATGCACTTGATAAGTCACCTGATAATTACATGCGTTCCTTTATACTAGATTCTGATGTAACTAACGTAACTAAAATCTACCAAAAATGCGAATTCTTAGCATGATTCCTCCACATAATTATCGGGTGAATAGTGCATTATTTTTTTACAGTGTACAATCTATATTTAATATATTACTCCTAGGAACTAACAGCTTCATGAAAAGAAAAGGCGGCTCAAATGATTTGATTAGATTTGGAAGGCGTTTGCTTATTTAAATTGTTTATTGTGTTTTTACTATGTAATTAATCATTCAAAATAACCAATAAAAAAATAACGCGATGACATTGAAAAAAATAAAATAAAAAAATACCCCAATTAAAAAGGAACAACCAATCAATATTTTGAAATATCTCTATCACAATAAAGTTTGGATCCCAATCTATACAATTACGGAGTTGTTTTTTGAAAGGATCTAATAAAAACGGATTTCTATTCTAGTGATAATTATTGGCATTTAGATATGAAATTTTTAATTATAATCTTTTATTGCGTGATTTGTTTATACTTCTTTTTAAAAGATTTAGAAATCCAAATCAGGAGATCAACATTAATTTAATTGATCAATTTCAGAAACATGCAATTTTATATGTATAATCTACAAAATTTGGGCTGAAAAACTATATAATTATTTGTGGCCTGATAACGGAATTTACAAAATTCATTGACATGAAATTAATTGACGAACCAAGTTTAACTAAAATAAAAGCAGTTACGACAAATAATGCAACATTCAATCTCCATTTCAGGATTAATTGTTAAAAATGATTTACAATCAACCCTTGTTTCAACGAATTTTGGTTCTGTCCCCCTTTTTAAAAATTTTTTGTTTCATATATAAATCGTGTTAAAGCGACAACGAATTTTTGGTAGGGATCTTGGAATATAAGAACTAATCGCGTTTCAACGAATTCACGTGACAATAGATCAACATGTAAATAAAAATTAAATCATACAATATTTAAACTTTATCAGACAAACAGCACTATTAAGCTATTGTTGGTTGCTTCGTTATTTTAGGCACAAAATGACATCAATATGATTGATATACTATTTATACAACCTTTCTATAAGATATAATTAAATCATATAATTAAACTTTAATAAACAGTGATGCTTGAAAGAATAGCTTAATAGTGATTGCCCAATAACATCAATATTGGACGTGAAATGGACAATTTCAGTGACATCCAGTATGTCATGATATTGGCCATTTCGTGTCCAATATCTTATATATAAAAAATTAAACATGAGATTTTCAAAAAACCATGTATTCTAATAAATCATTTAACTTAAAGATGTAATAAAGTGTATGTTTACTTTTGTGATTTTATCAAAGATGTATATAGGAACTTATGATTTATTTTTATTCAAGATGTTATAATAAAACTATAAAACTTATGATTATTTAAAAAAAACATGTACAATAATGATACTGAAAGGTGTGAATGTTTAATTGAAAAGTTATCAAATCAAGAAAGAGTTGTTATTGAAAATTTAATCAATGAATTATCATTTACCTCTCCATTAGAAGCAGAAGAATATATTACAATTGATAATGAAGGAATAAGTAATAGTAGTGAAATGGTAACAGACAAAGAAATTATTGCTTTTTTCAAGCCAATTGAGGAGAAAGTTACCATTAAAAGTAATAAAGTGCCTAATGTTTCAATAAAATATGCTGTAAATGCCCTTGAGACTGTTTACAATTTTCTACAACAAGGTGATATAGAAATAGACTATATTGAATCTAAATCTTTTAAATCATTAAAAAGAAAAATATTATTAAATATTCAAAAACAAAAACAAAGTAGTATTACAACATATTTCAATAAATAATAAATAATTATTATATATTTTCTAATTATAATTTATTATTATTAGAGAATTGTTATTCGCACCTCACATTTTTGTTATTCGCACCCTCCCGTGACTAAGACAAAGATGAACCAATAAAATCATCACATTTTAAAGCCATTCATTGGTCACATTACTACACTTAGTCACGGGAGGGGTGCGAATAACAACTCCCTATTACAGTTCACTCTCTCTATAACGGCCCCCTCTATAACGGCCTCCATTCTATAACGCACTGTAAATCAGAAACCAAATTTTTACTATATGTTGTCTATAACGGCCGACGATCATGATCAGAGGTAATCATTACCAAATTAAGAAATCCAGTGTGTCAAAATTATTAATAATAATTTGAACGCGCTTATTGTCACAATGCTCCCACTCATTCTATTTCTGAATCAACAAATTTAATTAATGTAAGAGTTTACTTCTTGCCAAACACAACAACATTTTTACAACCATGCGATGCCTGGATAATTAACAATTTCAAGGTGAACTACAAAAAATTTTTCTTGCAAAAAATTAGTAATTATGAAGAAGAGAGAAATGGTCAAGAATATGAAAAAATTTCAATTAAACATGCAATTAAATTTACAGCAAAGATTTGGAAAAAAGTTACCAGTCAAACTATAGTTGACTGCTGGAAAAAACTGGTATTTTACCTGATTATGATATTAATTCAAACGAAATTGAAAATTTTAAATTCATTGAATGTAAGAGAGCTCAATGATTTGCAAAATATGATTGATGAACTTACACTTCCTAATCCTATATCTGTGTCTGAATACATTGAAATTGATGACTCTCATGTAAGTGATAAATAAATCTAAATGACATAATTACAATAATTAATCCACCAGAAGAAAATGAAAGCCAGGAAGAAATAATTGAAGAACTTCCACCTGTTACAAATAAAGAAACCTTGCCAGAAATAAAAACATTAGAGATTTACATTGACCAGCAATCAGAATTAAATGAGGACGATTTTAAATTATTGAAAAGTCTTAAAAGAAAAATCAAAAAATTTGATTTTAACTCACAACAACAATCCACACTAGATAACTTTTTTAATATTGAATAAATATGCAAATTATAAATAGTTTATTTTCATTTATTTCATTTATTTTTTAAATATTTTATCATATAAAAAATATGTTGTATCGCATTATAATTTATCACATGACTATGATCTGCAAACTCTATAATGGCCTTTTTTTGCCAAATCAGACAGGCCGTTATAGAGAGAGTGAACTATATTATTATGAAAACTTTTTTCTGACGATCATTACCACCTTTGTTTCAGAGAATTTTTGTAACAACGAATTTAGTGACTGGTCCTATTGATTGGTTGAAACAAGGGTAGACTGTAATGTCTTTTTGTAGTTTTATCTATAGTTGGCTCAGTCTAAAGACCTCCTAAATTTTGGCAAATTTTAAAAGTATAGAAGTCATTTTCTGTCCTACCTTTAAAAAAAATAGCCTTATTAATTGGTAAAATAGGTTTCTACTTTTAATGTAATGAAGAGATTTTCTCCAAAAAATTATTTATTGTAGAGTTCTATTCCTTTTTAAAACATGTACTTTACTATACTCGTGAGAAATTTGAGTGCTAGGGTCATTGCTAAATTTAGACTAGTTTTTGATCATCATTTCTAAATTTAGCAGTAAGGAAAATAGTTTTTTAACCAAAATCTTGTGTAACCCTTTTTAAAAAATTTTATTGCATTTTTGAACGAATCACGAAATTGCAATTTTTGAAATTTGAGTACGTGGCGCAGCAATAGGAGGTCTTTAGACTGAGCCAACCATATAAAAAGGAATTTGCAGTTTCACAAAAATGGTTGCAGAAGGGAAGAAACCAACCTCTCTCTTTCCAGAACTTGTTATAACAATTATAATAGTATACTGACTTTATTGTATGTCAATCAACTTTTGTTAGAGTAAAAGACACTATTTTGGTTTAGAGAATGAATGTGTATAGTCTGTGGCAAATGAAAATGGTTTTAGGTATTTTCAGGATGAAGTGAGGAACAGTGAGTTATATGAGCCGGCTAAATTAATTAGGTGGTAAAAAAAAATTCCTATTTAGTTGAGATGGGTCCATCTGCATTACTTAGAATAACAAAAGAAAAAAACATACATTTGATAAAAAGAAAGCAATAATAATGGTAAATGAAATAGTAATAATGGCAGTGGGAAATTAGGATAACAATAGTAAAATAATAATAGTAATAATAATAATAACAGTAATAGTAATGATAATACTGGCAAGTTTAGTACCATCTGGGAAATTTTTTCATCAACTGAATTCTAAAAAGTGTGTTATTTGCCTAGTAAATCATTTGATAAAATTTTATTAGTCAGCTAAAGTTTTTTTATCAGCTGATATCACTAGTGAGGTTCAATTTAATGTCAAGTTAATTTTAAAAGCTAATAACTCCAGGACCAATAATTTTTTGAAATTATCTTGACAATAATGTTGTAGAACTAGTCAATAGCTATCAGAAATTGTCTCAGATAAGCATTCAATATTTCACTATCTAGCTTTAAAGTTGGCCAATTTTTATTTGATGGGTTAGTATGACCCGCACTATATATATTAACAGATGGCTATTCAAAAAAAAAGAACAGAAAAATTATTTTAAAAAACTAATGAATAAACTCCCTTTACATAAATTTCTTTAGACTTAGACAATATCATGCTCTCTACAAATTGACAAATAGTTGTGGATTTTGAATGGATTGTAAGAAAGCAAGTTTGGTAGTATTTATTCAATTATCATAATTAAAATATCATGTAACATATTTACATGCATTCCAATTGTTCCAGAATCAATTTCCGAATTTGGAAAAATTCTGACTACATTATGTGTTGTGCCACTT